CCGCAGGATAACGGATATTGTAAGTCAAGGAACTGCCATGCAATGGCATCTATTTACAATAAATCCGTCAAAATTCGTGTATGTAATTCCAATCATTTTCAGGAAAAATATAAGGGGCTATTTAAAGTACCGTCACTATCGTTATCATTACGGTCCTTCACAAGTCAACATGGTGAACATGGAGCTCTTCAAGGAAAGCTATACATTGGAGTATATTTGCCATAGTTTCCACGCTTGGTTGGTGGATTGGCTAATGCAGTTTATTTACTGAATACCAGCGTAAAATAGCAGCTTAATGCTGCTGTATTTCGTATGGTGAGCGTAGAGAATAATTTTAGGTAATTATTAGTTACTCATTAAACACAAAATGAATGTCTACCTCGTAAAATATCTGACGTTATAAATTTAGTTCTATATATTTTAACTTATTATTAAATGTTTTCTCTTGAATAAAGGAATCTCCGCGACATTATCTTGGAACATGTAAACAAGGGGTTCCTTTATGAATAATGAACATTGATAAGAAGTATTGAGTTCAATAATGTTTCTCTAAATATATCTTTGGCTATAATTTATATTAATATCTATATTAATTATTATTAAATTAATAATATTTTAATGTTTATCTTGTAGTTTAAATACACTTTGGCAAGATCTTTAAATATATAATCGATGGTGAATCAGTTTTTGATCGTGTAGCTTTTAAACGACTAGACCTATTAGGTTATCTTATATTTACGCGAACACTACACATTTAAATTAACCTAGTTGTTACGGATTTTATAGCGTATATTAACTTTGTCATAGTTAACCGCGGTTACCCACAGATTAAAATTATTAATGTTTGTTCCGATCTATACAGTATGAACTTATAGTATCTTGTTTTAATCTATGTTTAACCACGGTTAACTAGCACATCGAGACGCGGAACACCTTAGTCCCCCGTGACTATGGGTGCTGCAAAATGCTCGAAACGTCGGGAATATAAAAAAGTTAATATACGCTTGTGGGAAAACTGTATGCTAAGGTACTAATTGAAAGAGTTATGAAAGAAACTGATGAAAAAATTTGGGATGTGCAAGCGGGATTTAGAAAGGGGAATGGGGTGTACAGATCAAGTCTTTTCCATGGGCATGATCGCGGAGAAGTTTTTGTCGAAAAACCAAAAAGTTTTTTGTGCGTTCATGGACTTGGAAATGGCTTATGACAGAGTGGACAGGGATGTGTTATTTCAAACGCTGAACGCATTTAGGTTGAGCGCTGGTTTAATACAGGCATTAAAATCTCTGTATAGGGACTCGAGTGCTTGTGTTAGAATCAATGGGGTCTACTCGGACTGGTTTGGCATCCATAAAGGTGTCAGACAGGGCTATGTAGCTTCCTCGTGGCTGTTCAACCTATTTGTAGACAGTTGTTTGGAAAATTTGAAAGTTGAAGAATGCTGGTTAAGAATGGGTGAGTTAACCATCAAATGCCTTTTGTACGCCGATGATCAAGTCATTCTTGCGTCGTCGGCGTCCGAGTTGCAAATGATGGTTACATTAATGAACAGGTCATTAAAATAAAGGGGGATGAAAGTGAACGCAAGTAAGACGAAAGTGATGGTTTATGAAAGAGAAGAAAGCAAAAAGGTATGTGAAATAAGAATAGAAGGAGAGTTAAATGAGCAAGAGGATGAGTTCGTATATTTGGGATGTGTATTCAGTAGGGATGGGAGATATGATAAGGATATTGAATGACGAGTGAATGCAGGAAATAAAGTTAATGGGGCTCTACACTCTATTGTGAAAGGTCAGAATGTGTCAAAAAAGGCACGTATGGCAATTCATAATGCTGTATTAGTCCCTACTTTAACATATGGTAGTGAAAGTTGGGTGTGGCAGAAGAAGCACGAGAGTAGAATAAATGCAGTAGAAATGCGGTCGCTAAGGAGTATGTTAGGGCTGAATCTGAGTGACAGGGTGAGAAACTGTATGATAAAAGAAGAGTGTGGCTTGCAAGATGATGCAGTGACCAGGATTAAGAAAGGAATGCTTCGGTGGTTTGGTCATGTAGAAAGAATGAATGCGGAAAGACTGACAAAGCAAATATATGTTGCAGAAGTGAATGGAAGAGTTGGAAACGGACGTCCTAGGCGGAAGTTTGTCGACCAAAATTGGCGATATACTAAAAATGGGCCAAATTAAGAGTACCCTTAACCGACGAGCATGTATGCGTAGGTATATGGATGTGGAAGAGGCGAGAAAGGTATGTCAGGATCGTGCTAAATGGAAGTCTGTAGTCTCTGCCTACCCCTCTGGGTTACAGAGGCCTGAGCGTTTATGTCATGTTTATGTTTAATATACGCTATAAAATCCGTAAAAATTAGTTTTATTTAAGCGATTAGGTTATTTTACTATCTTCATCATCATCACTACAGCCCTTCACAAGTTCACTGTTGAACACAGGCATCCCACAAGGAATACTGAAAACCACGGTCCTGAGCCACCTGCAACCATCGACTTACTGTATGTCGTCACTCTACCTAGTGAAAGGACGCCATACACCTCGCCTGAATGTATGAAGCTGCCACACGTGAACCTTTCTTCTTCATCGGTTGTCGGTTCTTCGAATTATATGGCTGGCCCATTGCCATATTTACTATATTGTGTAAATATAATCTTTTTTGTAGAGACTACGTTTTTTCTAAGACAAATTTATGTTTTATTAACTATCTTACGGAAAATAAGCAATTTTGCTAATATTTTTAAGAAAATACTTTAAATTATTTTAAGAGAATCTTAAAAAAGAATATGAAACGTTAAACATTCCACTTCAAATGTAAAAGCGCTTTAGAATTCATCGAAACTCAGTCGAGTGTTAAGATTTACGAATTCGAACGGATCGCTTACATATGAAAATACACGTAATATGCGAGTAATTATAAATTAAAAGCGGTAAATAACATAAAGTAAAATTGTATTACATTGATTTAGAAAATACGTAAATATTTCTTCCCTATATATTTATGTGTTATTAGATATATATTATATGACGAGCAATTTTTTTATATGTGGTAGCGCCATGCTGCAATTATAAAAGTAAAGTGCCTTACTCTCACTGCTGGGCACAGGACTCCCCTCATTTCTGAGAGGGTTCTTAGGGCAAGGAAGTGTACGCCCCGCTGCCCAAATGCGTGTTGCCGAACTTCACATATCTTTGAAATATTTTTTCTTATTTCTCAGACATGCAGGTTTCCTCACGATGTTTTCCTTCACCGCCGAGCACGTGGTAAATCAGCATTTAAAATTGCAATTAACAATTTCATTGGTGCCGGCGGGGATCGAACCCGGGTTACTCGCGTTCTGTTATATTTACAGCTAGCGTTAACCTTCTGACCTTCCACGGCTTATATTATATTATATTTGCAGTTACATTAGTAGTATTATAGTTGTAGCACGAATGGGTTAGCTCGACCGGGGAATGACCATACTCTCACAGAACACCAGCGTAAAATAATAATGCTTCTGTGTTTCGTATGGTGAGTGTAGAGAACCGGATACCCTTTTTACTGGAAACGAGGCATTCCATCTTAGTCCTACCGGGTGACAACGTATCTGCATTCTGATTCGTAATCGAGGATAGACAGTTATGATGGGTAGTTGATATCTTTGGGCCGCAGCAACCACTTACCATCAGGTGGATTGTGTGCTAGTTTGTCACCCTATCCTATAAAAAAATATTAAACACAACAGCACAATGTGTGGCAATATAAATGTATTATATTTATTTCTTCGACGTAAGATAAATTGTTGTTCAAGTGAATTTTTTTTTCAAATCTACCTTTCGAAATAAGGTTTCTTTGGTCAAAGTAGAAATGATGAAAGAAATACATACATAATCACTTACGCCTGTCACCCAGAGGGGTAGGCAGAGACTAGAGACTTCCATTTGGCACGATCCTGACACACCTCTCTCGCCTCCTTCACATCCATTTACCTACGCATAAATGCTCGTCGGTTAAGGATACTCCTAATTTGGCCCGTTTTTAGTAAATCGCCAATTTGGTCGATAAATTTTCGCCTAGGACGTCCCTTTCCGACTCTGCCATTCACTTCTGCATCATAAATTTTCTTTTCTTATTCTTTGATGAAAGAAACACCGCAGATATCCTGTTTTTTGTATTTTTGTCAAAATGAAATATTAAAAGCATAGTATATCATCATCACTATCATCATTATAGATCACTAAAAGTCCAGTACTAAACATGGGACTCCGTAAGGAATGCCATAAAGCACCATTCTGTATATATTGACTTCGACTGTCACTCGAGATATCTTCCTTATAAATCAGTTATCGGTTAAGCTGACTGTAATATGGCCTAACTATTGCCATTTAGTGATCATTACTACTACGCAGTATAGTTTTTTTTGTTTTATAATAAGTAACTAAGTTAAGCACAGGCTGTAAATTTCACTGCACGCTGCTACCCATGTTCGATCCCCGTCGACAAGAATTGTTAAAGAAGCAAGTGTTAAATCAATACTTAAATAAATTTAAATTAATTTTAAGTCGTTAGGAGACTTGCTTTTGTGAGAAATTTAAAAATATATTTGGTCTACATATAAAGGCGGCCAACATGCGGCAGCATGGTGGAAATTTTCTTACCCTAAAACTATACTGTGCCCGGGAGTGGAACATATAAAATATGCTATGATTTTAACGAGTATATGTTAATGTACATAATTTTTTGTTGCAATAATTATAACTACAAACAAATTCAAATTCCCAGAATAGTCATAATTCAAACTAGTTGGTTTCCTTAAATCATAACTTTATTACAGCAATTAAACAACTTCAGTTTGTCGTAAATTTTGATTTAACCTATATCATTTTATTTTCCTCCAGAGCACGAAGAACACGTTTTGCTTCCTCACACATTTGTAAGTTTATTAAATGATAACGTAAACCTTTGCAAAAAAGCATGGAATATAAGAATAATTATCATTAAATTATTCTAGCACGGCGGTCGCCGAGCCTCCTGCAAGCGTGTAGACTGCGGCAAATTCTGCCTACAGTGGCAGAGGACCGTATCCTGCTTTGGAATTGTACGAGACGACAAGGAAAAGTTCAATTCTATAGAGGGATAACAGATGTATCGGCTAGAGCAAATATTGTTAAGCGATTAGATAACATTCCGAGAGCCACATGAATGCTAAAGCAATTTCTCATGTTGTCAGCTGGCTGAATATTCATTCAACAAATGTATAATGACATTGTTTAATACTTTGTTTTTTAAGTTATATATTTACAGTAAATGACACTGAAAATTTTTCGTCATATATCTTGCTCTACTCGTTTGATTATGAAAAATGATTTGGTTAAGCGAATAAGTAATTGAAAAAATAAAAAATAAAATCTTTGACGGATTTTATCGCATTTCATGTATCGCATTTAATTTAATTGTAACTGTATAGATTTTACGGCGTTGCCATTTATATGCTTATTTGATTTACTTAGTTGTATAATCGAATGATTATATATTTGCTTATATACATGCTTATTTACTGTAACTTTAATTAGCTTATTTACTTGCTTACTACTTAATTTTTTATTTTCATAATCATTTCCTGGACTATAACTCTATTATCTACTCGATTAGTTGTATGAATAATAATTCGATTAGTTACTAGATTACTTCGTCGATTATTTTATTACTTTACTGCTTATTAGTTATTCATTATATTATTTACTTGATAATTAATTTGAATATTTGATTGATTATTTACCTGTTTGTGTACTCGATTATTTATTTCTTACTTTATTATTTATCGCTTAATCATTAAAGGAGAAACCCAGTCGTCATACAAAATAGGACTTAGCATTACAGAGCTGAAAATTAGCCACTGATTAGAGCATGTAAAAAGGTTTCATAAGCCCAATTTCTCATGACTGCTAGAAATGGCGAAATAAGTACAATTGAGTAATGAATTATGTTTATGTTTGGCGTTATTTTTATAAAAAAACATAGGTAGTAGTAGGTAAAAATAAAGGAGTAGAAATTACGTTCATAGAACATAGTATTCTACGAGATTATCTTATTCATATGAACATACCCTGACCAAATGGCGGACACAAACGCGCTCTGATGCAGGCCATCGCGACGCAGTTATTGCATGAAATAACCTGGAAATCGGACGTCTGCCCGTCACGGTAAAGGCTATCTAAGAAGTGCTTTAATGCCTTCAGATCAGACTTATTTACCTTTAGTTTTTACAAAATTTGGATATTTATGCAGACTATTTCATTCAGAATGTTGGAGAAATGTTGGGGATGTGGCATATTCAGTATCAATGTCTATATGAAACCATCAACAGATAGTATATGCAAGGTACAAAGAGGTTAAGATAGGGTAAAAAAATAATGTTCGAGACGCAGCCCATTCCCGTACAATCATACTTCCATACTAATATTATAAATGCGAAAGTGTGTTTGTTTGTGTTTTGTTGTCTTTTTATCCTTCTTTCACGTCGCAACAGAGCGTCGGCTTGTCATGAATTTTGGTATGGGGATAGTTCGGTGGCTGTAGAGTGACATAGGCTACTTTTCTCAGCGGAAAAACATATCATTCCCGTGGGAAAATCGAATATGTTGCAAAATTAAATTCAGCTAGGTGGCGCCACCGTGATTATACAAGACGGACGACGGTACAATGGACGAACACAGAAGGTCAGAATATCTGGATTATTATATCTTTTTACCAAAATTAGGTTAAAAAATGTATGGATCTGTATTTTTCCACGCAGGACCGGGAAGAGAGCGATAAAAAACATAAAATTCACCAGCTGATTTTTTCAAACGTTTTGGTGCATTGTAATTCACAGAATAGGCGGTAACTTCGCAGACGATATTAAGTAATCCGTTGATGCTCTGCCTGCCCCGCAAGGGTTACAGACGTGATTATATGTATGGATCAGAAATATTATCACCACCTGTCACGCTTTCACCCTTAATTATTACTTAACTGTGGTAGAAACAGTTCTTAATAAGCCTTATTAATAAGCCTTAATAATATTTATTGAACGGAAATGAATACAGTTCTTATATGTGGTTATGAATGAATCGGTATTACAATAAGAAAAATTGTGCAAAATTATAAGAAAAGTATTTTTGAGAGTTCTTATTAACTAACGTATGCATAGTTTACATTGATTCCGCTAGATGTCGTTACTAGGTTTTTAAAACACGGTAACGAAATGTTTCCTGACATGTACTTAACTCCCGCCGTTGAGTCGCGCGTCAACTTATAGTGCATACGGTACCTGTACGCTTAAATTGTTTCTATTTCATAGTTTTTTCGACTACCTGCTTTCGATTTCGGTTGTTTGTTATTGCTATTATTTGCTTTGCGATTTGATTAAGGTTGAATGGATTTATATTGGCTTTCGTTTTCGGATTTGTGTATTTTCTTGGATCGGTTTTGTTGATTTAGTTACCTTTATACATATTTAGACTCTGGCTTTGATTTTGGATTTTGTTTATTTAGAATCGTGAATTGGTTTTCGTTGTTTTAGGTTGTTTAACAATATTTCAAAGGGATATTAATAGTATAGATAGTGTATACGGTACCTATACACATACTTCTTTTTTCGTTGGTTATATTTATATTGACTACTGCTTTCGATTTCGGTTTTATGCAATTTGTTTTGTGATTTGGTTTAAGTTGAGTCGATTTTTTTTGGCTATCGTTTTCGGATTCGTGTTGTGTCTTGAATTGGTTTTGTTGTTTTAATTTTAAAAAATATTTAAAAGGAATATTTATTTCTTTTAGATATTTTGGATTTGCTTTTAAAAAAATTATTTAAAAGGAAATTTAATTCCTTTTAGGTATTTTAACGTGTTTTATAACGGGTTGTTTGTTACTTCATAATGCCTCGCAAACGTAAGTCCAGCCTTTCAAGAGTATCTTCTCAAAGACAAGCGAAAAGTTTAGCTCGATCGCTAGAATCTTTAGAAGATGCTGAACTGAGAAGGCAAGAACAAGCAGAGCGTCAGGCTACTTTTAGAGCATCTTAGACAACTTCTTAACGTCAGCAAAGGCGTCTTGAACAGACAGAGCGTCAGGCTGCTTTAAGAGCTTCCGAAACACCTTTTCAAAGTCAGGAAAGGCGTCTTGAACAGACAGAGCGTCAAGCTACTTTAAGAACTACTGAAACACCTGCTCAAAGTCAGCAAAGGCTATTCGAACAGGCGGAACGTTAGCCCGCCTTAAGAGCCTGCGGAAACATCTGATGAAACTCAACACAGACTCGTTGAGCAAGCTGAACGTCAATCTACTATAAGGGCATCTGAAACACCAGAACAAACACAGGCGCGAAGAGATGCAAATGCAGTGCTCCAAGCTGAACGTCGACAAAATTTTCAAAGAAACAATTGGTCGTTTTTTAATGACGCAGCATTCAATTTTGATCCGTTGATTGATTATAAAAATCACAAGTTAGTTGTTATCGGACTGATAGACGTGATATTGATAGACTGAAAGCGTGTCGATTTTGCAGCGCTTTAAAATGGAAAGATGAGACCGCAGGCATGTGCTGTTCCAATGGCAAAGTGTCAAAAGTCTCTTCCGTTACTTGGGGAACCAGAAGAACCTTTGAAAACTCTCTTTTTATATGATGCTAATGAGTCACGGCGCTTTTTAAACAGGCTCCGGAAATATAACTCATGCTTTCAAATGACGTCCTTCGGAGTTGACCGGGAAATAATAATGCCGGGATTTTCGCCTACATTTACGGTGCAAGGGCAAATTTGTCATAGAATAGGTTCACTTTTTCCAGCTGAAAACGAGCAGCATAATTTTTTACAAGTATATTTTATGGGTGACGATGAAATTGAGGTAGACCGTCGCTGCCAATTTATCCAGGGAGTTGAGAGAGACACAGTGTTCAAAATTCAAAGATTCTTGCATGAACGTAACATTTTAGTTTAAAACTGCTTCTTACATATAAAACTGCTTTAGAAAACCTACCTGAAGATGATTATAAAGTCGTCATTCACGCAGATCGGACTCCTCGAGGAGAGCATGAAAGGCGCTACAATGCACCTTTGATAAACGAAATAGCAGCCGTAATTAGTGGTGATCAATTTTCTTCACGAGACATTGTCTTGCGCGGCAGGAAAATTACAATCAAATCTCGCTCTGGAGCGTTCGAAACCTTGCTGATGATGAACAGCTGGATTGTCCCGTATTCGCCCATTCTATGTAAAATGTTTAATGCCCACATTAATGTAGAAGCATGTAGCTCTGTCCGCGCAATCAAGTATATCTGTAAGTACATAAATAAAGGAAGCGACCAAGCAATATTTAATCTCAGGAGTGAAAAGTGAAAGGTGAGGCAAATCCCGTTAATGAAGTACAGAGCTTTCAAGCAAGGCGTTATGTCAGCAGTAACTAGGCAGCGTGGAGTCTCCTTGGCTTCCCTTTACACGAAAGGCACCCAACAGTTACTCACCTTGCTGTGCACTTAAAAAATGGAGAGCGTGTATATTTCACCGAAAGAAATTTCCAAGAAAGAATTGCATCACCGCCAAAAACTACACTAACAGCCTTCTTTCAACTTTGTCAAACCGATCCCTTTGCAAAAACGTTGCGATATTCTGAAGTCTCCAGCTATTATACTTGGAACACATCTAGGAAGGAGTGGAAACGCCGTATTCATGGCGCGCTTGTTGCAAATTGGCCCGGTGTAAAGTCATCAGATGCCCTTGGTAGTGTGTATACCGTCCATGTAACTAATTTTGAATGTTTCTGTTTACGATTGCTGCTGCACAATGTTCGGGGTCCTACAGGATATAAAGACCTTAAAACTGTCAACGGTCAGGAATGTGCAACTTATAGAGAAGCATGTGAAGCTCTGCATCTTTTAGAAAACGATAATCACTGGGATGAAACCATGGAGGAAGCTGTGCAGTACCAGTCACCAGCCAAAATTATGATCTTTATGCAACTCTCATATCATCTTGCGGGCTATCTAATGCACATGAATTGTGGGACAAATATAAAGAGTACATGGCGGAAGATATTTTGCGTAGGTTACAGCAGACACACGCGAACATGACATACAATGAACACAGGAAAAATTGAAGATAA